GCCCCGTGGCCCCCGTCTGCGAATTTCGACCGACCGACCGTGCCGCCCGTCTGCCCGACCGTGCCCTCCCGTCCCCCTGCCCCCTCCTTGTGCCCTTCCACCCAGTGGCCCCGTCCCTGCCTTCCGCCCGCGACCCCCCCTCGCCCTCCTTCCTCGCACTCCTTTCCCTCATTATCATACCTGCTGGTGTGATCTCGCACTGCGTTACTTCGACCGGCCGACCCTGCCTGGGATGTGTGCTGGACTGGGATGTGTGCTTGGACGTGTGCTGGGGCGCGCGCTGCCTTCGTGTGCTGGGATGCGTGCAGAGCTGCGCGCTGCCTCCGCGTGCTGGGATACGTGCCGGCGCGCGTGCTCTCCATGCCCTCCCGTCGCCCTCCCGCCCCCGCGCCCGCGCCTTCGCCCCGTGGCCCCCGTCTGCGAATTTCGACCGACCGACCGTGCCGCCCGTCTGCCCGACCGTGCCCTCCCGTCCCCCTGCCCCCTCCTTGTGCCCTTCCACCCAGTGGCCCCGTTTGGAATTTCGACCGACCGGCCGTGCCCCCGGTCTGCCCGACCGCGCCGTGCCGCCCCCCTGCCCCCCCCCCCCTCCGCGCCACTCCGCCCCGTGGCCCCCGCCTGCTTATTCCGACCGGCCCACTGCGCCCGCCCGTCTGACCGAGCGCGCCCTCCCGCCCCCCTGCTCCCCTTCCCCCTGTGGCCCCCCGTCTGCCTATTCCGACCGACGGACAACGCCCCCCCCCCCGCGCCGCCACCTCTGGCCCGTCGGCGCCCCATCTGCGCCCGAAGTTGCATGATCCTTGGCGCGCGTGCCTCTTGTATCGGGTGGGCGGTCGTGGTGCGCACCGCCTTGCGGCCGATTTTCCCCATCGACGGTTTTGGCGCTCGCGCTGCAAGACTGCATCTGTCCAAGGACCCTTGGCCAAGGAGAACGTTTCTCTCTTGCCTTCCAGCCCTCCCAGAGCATTGTGCAAGGCTTGCGTGGAGGAGCCCGTTTTGCTCGGTGCATGGTCCATGTCGTTCCCCAGCAGATCTCGACGGCCCACGCGGGCACGTCGATGCGCATTTGGATTGGCGACCTCTCCCAGCGGGCCCTGGGCTCTCGGAGAACCGCCGGGGCAAACATTTTCTGGGTTCTGAAGAACACTTGCAACGAGCTCGGCGAGGCAGGTCTCAAGGCATCGCCCAAGAGAGCGCCGATGTGCTCGAGGCCCGCTGATGGCAGACAATTTCCACAGCAGCTTGAACGAGTCGGCATTCATGTTTCAGCTGTTGTTCGGCAAGCCCCGCGCCTCGGGGCCGACCTCGGCAACGGCCGACCCGCTCGGAAGCTAGGATACAAACGGGGGGCCCAGGCTAGTGGGATGACGGCTCAGATTCGGCGTTTCGCTCGGGCTTCCAAGCAGCACCGCGCGATGGTGCGATTTGAGAGCGCGGGTGCACAAGCCGCCGGTTCCTATGGGCGCCATGTCTACGGGGCCTTCGGGTGCCGTCGTCAACTTGTTCGTCGGCGCCCCGGGGCCTCTCTCGGTGCTGAATCTGAGGGGAGATGCCTCGCGACCCTCTTAGACGTCGAGGTTCCTGGGGGTGTTCCTGGTCCTAAGTTCCCTCGCGAGGCCATGCGCCTCTGGCTTTGGGTTTGGTTCAGTGCTCCTGATATCCGCCCCATGGTCCGCCTTGCATGGCCTCGCAATAGCGAATCAGTTACGGCATATGTTTCGCAGTCAGATATTTCGTCAGGTTGGGGGCCCGTCGCCGCCATCATCGGGCACTTTCTGGAGGTTGACTGGGGCCCCGAGGCCACCTACTTACGGGGTGCTCTTGAGTTCGCGTGGGTGTTCTCGGAGGCCGACTTCTCGGGCGACGAGGACTGTTCGGACATCCTCGACGACTTCCAATCTGCATTTCAAGCTATGCAGTGGCCCCGTGCTTCTGCCCGCTACTGTTGAGACGGGGTGGTAGGAGGGGTGGGCAATTGCAGCTATTGCAAGTTCATCCAGGGGCTCAGCCAATGTAAGAATTGCCATCGGCTCGCAGAGGTCATAGTCAACATTGTCATAGGAGTGCTCTTGCCACGTCAACGGGTAGCTGATGAGGCCAGGGCCAAGATCGACATGGAATGTCAAAGGTGCTGACACGCCGTTTCGCCGTTCCTGGACTTGCCAGCGCAACAAAGACGCGAAGGCCTTCGTCGACCACGACTATTTGGCCCCGCGCGCGCATGCGTTGCACGAGAGCGAGGCGTGCGATATGTCGAGGAGGTTGCCCCCCAAGGAGCGGGCGGCGAGTCCTCGCCCCGCCGACGAGATAGCATGGCAATTCTTTATCGCGAACGGGGATGGCGACTTGCATTGTTCTTTCTTAGGTTACATACGGCAGTTCTGATTGGCCTCTCGTAGTCTTTGGAGACGCCTGTGGGGGGCCAGATGCTCGTGGGCCTCGTTTTCGACGCATTGGTTATCGGTATCGCAGTGCAAATTATGCAGTCTTTCGCCCTCCCCCCCCCCCCGATGCTGGGGCCGTCACGTTGGGGGCCCTTCCAGGACTTAGGCAGACGGTGCCTCGAGGCGACCTCTATGGGCTCCTCTTGGCTATTACTTATAGTGCGGGCGCTCTTATCTATTTCACGGATGGCCCTGCTGTTGCTGATGGTTGGCATTCGGGGCTGCATCTAGAAACATCGGGGTGCAACGCGGGGATCTGGGGCATGATGAGACGGCGGCAGAAGGACACTCAACGTGACGGGTCACTCATTGTTGTTCTTCAGGTCGCGTACCATCTTACAGTATCAGAGACGGCGGAGAAAAGGCATGCCCTCGCATCTCGCGATAGGCAACGCGGGAGCGGGCGAGTTTGCTGGACAGGCCGCAGTTTCTGCCCGACTCCCCGCAGGTACTCGCAGCAGGATACGGGCGCTCGAAAAAGTCACGCTCTTTCTTCGGCGGCGCCTCCTCCGCGCGGGCCTCGAGGCCCTCGGCGCTGCAGCGGGCGCCGGCCCCCCCACTTCGAGGAGTTCTGCACGGGCGGGGCGCGTTTGAGACAGACCGCGATCTAGATGAAAGTGGTAAGAGTTGCCGCCATTGTAGGGGATCTGCCAACGACGCCACCCTCATCAGGTGGCGACGGTCCCCTTGTGTCGCTTTCACTCCTGGGGATGCTCATGTTTTCCATTGCCCTGTCGGTCAGCATTTACATATAGGGGGAGAGGGGGCTGGGTGAGTGACGCACATCGCATGGACTTTCATAATATCCTCAGCATATGGTTATGCAGTTGTTGCGGTTTCTATAGTAGTAGGGGCGCCGGTTCAGGTCTCCAGGGCCTTTGTAAGCATCGCCAGGTCATTACCGCTCGACGGGAATATCTTCGTCGGATCTGTCTCGGCGAGTGGCCAAAGGCCTTGATTCGCTTTCAGCAGGCAGCCAGAGCTGCGAGGTAGTGTCTCTTTGGATCAGTCCGTGATGGCGCATTCTCATTTTCCCTTTGGGGCATCCCGGAGGCCACCAGAAACCAACCAGAGCGGCCTGACAGGGCCGAAGGCGCCCGAATATTGCTTCAAAGCGGCACAAGGGGCCCCGAAGACGTCGAAGGCTCCAAGATGCGCTCCGAGAGGGCCCCAGGAGGCCAAAATTGCTTCATCCCCAAGAGGGGCGGTGGTGCATGTCTATAATATGCGCATCTTGACAGCGTCCAGAACGGCTCACGAGGTCCCACAAATCGCTTCAAGCCAGCCCAAAAGGCCTTCAAGCGAGCCCCAGGACGGCCCAATAAAGCCCCAATGCGTTCCACGAGGCGCCCAAGACGGCCCAACAGGGCCCAGGAGGAGTCCATGAGCGGGAACTCCAACTTGCGTTTCGAGCCTTCCGCCACGACAGGGCCCCCGAGGCCGCAGCATTCACCCATATGGGGGCCTCCTCAATGGCCCCCAAACATCCCCCAAGAGGCCCCCACATGACCCACATGAGGCCACAAGAAGCTTCAACACTCGCTTCACGAGGCGCCCGAGAATCATGCCGAGAGATTCCGAAATATAGGTATCCAAGGATACCCTGGCCCAAAACTGGGGTGCGGTAGCGGTATGGGCCGAAGGGCGTAGATAAGCAAACACTTGGTTTGGGGACGGATCCATCCCTACGCAGCCATGTGTAGCGCAGGGCGCGGGTCTCTCTTCATACATTGCGCGCCACAGGGCGATGCGGAAAGATTGTTGGTGCGGGGCACGCGTGCACGATTGAGCTGAATTCCTGAATTCTTTGTAGGGCGCGATCCGCGTGAAGCGTGTGCCGCATGATTCGGATACCCCCGCGCGAGCGCCCCCACTGAGGCCACAGGTGAACCTCCTCCAGGCACGACCCGTGCGATGCAGGTTCCGAGATGGGCTGGGGCACGCCAGGTGAAGCTGCCCATTGGTGCCATAGGTGGGGTTCCTTCTAGGGCATGGTTCGCCTGACGGGTCTGCCGGCATGGGCGGGGGAGCGTTGTGCGCACCTTGTTTCTGGGCCTTTAGGTAGCGTTCCTTGTGGACACGATCCGCGTCATGCGGTGTGCCGCAATGGCCAGGGGGTTGCAGTGCGAACCTTGCCTTTGGGGCCGTACGTGGAGATCCGTGTGGGCCACGATCCGTGTGAGAGGTGTGCCGAAGCAGACGGGAGGGCGGGATGCGGATTTTGTCCCCAGGGCCGTTCGAGGAATCGAACTCCTTGCGGGCTGGAGCCCCCTGATGGGCGCGGTCCTTGTGGTGGGTGTGCCAGCAAGGGTGGGACATCGTGAACTAAGCCTGTCTGGGGCCGCAGGTGACCCTCCCTGAGGGGCACGACCCGTGCGATAATCGATGTCCGCCAATACCGAACATTTTTATATTACAACTAAGCTTGCTAGAACTTCAGCGCGCGAAACGCGCGCGTGGTTCTAGCACCGGCATCGATATGTGTATATATATATACATCGATGTAGGTGTGTATATATATGTGTATATGTATAGATTAGGCATGTACTGAAATTTGTTAAGTTGGCATGCTTTGTTTGAGTGAAGTTGTACATGTATATGTGCACGTCCTGCTTGGTGAATTAACCTATGTGTGGCGTACTGGGGCGCCACATGGCACCACGGCACCAACCATAAAGCACCATATGGCAACCTAGAGCGCCAGGGGCGCCCACGGGGTACCCCTGAGCCGAACCATTGTCCAAGGACGCCCACGGGGTTGCGACGAGCTGACAACCCTTTTCCATGGGGTACCATAGGACACCAGAGGCGCACAGGTGTGGCGACGAGAAAATACACAAAGTTTTCCGATTCGATGTAAGAGACCATGGTGCACGCACTGCTTTGGAGCATGGTCAGCAATCTCCAGGAACGAGTTCCGTCTCATCATCAAGAACGCCGATGTCTACAAGGTTCTCAAACGGTTTGGCGTAGAGATCGAGCATCTCGCGTCGATGGAGGAATCCACGCCGAGAATGTTTACCATTGCTTCCACCTGCTTGGGGACTTGCCCACGAGGATCTCGGATCCAGCCAAGACGCTGAAACAAAACCGCTTTGGGACTTCGGAAGGGGCTCACTCTTCATTAGGTCATGTCGTGATTGCTCCTCTAGCCCTCCTCGTACACCCTGGCCTTTGTGGTGCCCAAAAAGGGGCTTCGTTTCTTTTCTGCGTTCCCTATTTCAGCAGCCTGGCTGTAGCGCCCCATTCATGCGAGAAGTATCCGTCTTAAGCGCTCCGCGAGATCCTCGGGGGCAGGTTTCCAGATCGGTTGGCAGGGACACTTCTTGGCGTGTGAGGAGTCCCTGTACGCCCGCACAGAGCACATCGACTTCGACACCTTGCTCGAGGCGATCGGGCAGCTAAACGCATCAAAGGTCGCCACTGTCAGGGACATCAGCTGCGCGGCCGCGCGAATCCGCCGCCGCTCGCGGGCGGGAGCCTGGGAAAGGGGGTGTACTGGGGAGGGGCGGCGGACGGGAGAGGTTCCACGGAGCATTGCACCGAGGCCCCTCATGTTGGCACCCTCTTGCCTTTGGAAGGCAGAATGCATAGGGTCTGGCCTTGGTCAGCAGACAGGCTCCATTTCGGTCCGATCGATCAGTTTCGGCCATTTCGTCTGATTCGATCCCGACGTCCCGACGATCCGATGCGGCCCGACTCTTGCATGGCGCCGTTCTGGCGCGGACGATCCTATTCGATTCCGACTCCGTGTCGACTCGGCCCGATCCGATGCACATTTCGATTCGATCCGAGATCCCGGCATCGATGCGGACTGGTCCTGGCAGATGGGCGCTCCCCAGGCTCGATGCCCCCGGAGGGCCACTCGCCCCCTCGGGAGGCGAGGCCAGCGAAGAGGCAGGGGCTCGACGTGCGCTGACCGCTGCAGGCGCGGTGGCGGATATTTCAGTCCCAGGACGTGCTGAAGAGGGCGCTGCACTCCATCGATCTTCGGCTGAGCTCGCCGCTCCGGCACAGGTCAAAGACAACGTAGGGCAGCTGCGGATGAGGCAGGACGCTCTGTCGAACCGCGCGTTGAGGCACAAGCTTCCCGCGTGTCGCTCCTCCCTCCTCCTCATCCTCCTCCTCCTCATCCTTCCCTGTCGTTTCCCTCCCCGTCGTTTCCCTCTTCGTATTCCTCCTTCTCCCTCTCCCCATCCCGCCCGTTGAAAAATGGCAGCAGGAATGCGTGTGGTTGTGGCAGGTATCTTGGGATCCATATCAGTGTGGCCACCAAACCAGGACGCGATCATACATCTCGACGATAAGCAGACTATCGCGTCTTGTTGGATGGTTGGCCACATGAGCAGATGAAGTCCTTCCCGAGTCGCCGTGCCAGATGCCATCCGAGGATCCTGAAGACCCGATGGTCTCACGTGTTTTTAGGTGCCCAATCTTAGCTGTTCTAATACCAGTTTCCCGCCTGCGCCCTCAGTGGCCGCCCTGCGCGGGCATGCAGGCCTGCGCTGACCTGACCTGACATGAGCCTCCTGGCTGTCCCATATGCAGCGACAAATTTCATCTTCCATAGCCAAGTGCTTCCGCGATCAAGGGCTCGAATGGGTCCAGAACTAGCTGAAGACATGGGCTTCCCCGAACAGCGCTTCTCCCAGGACCTGCACAAGGTTTGCGAGAGGGCGTGCAGTGAGGTGGGAGTCGGTCTGGTCTCGTCAGCTTAATCCCAGGGCTGCCCAGACAGGGACACAGTCCAGCAGCTGGGCCGATACCTCCTGGTTTCCCCCGGTGGCAGAGATCACTCTCAGAGGAGGTGGAGGTTCCCGTCCTATCTTCTTGTCACTTGTCTCCTGTCGTCTTGTCCCATCGTTGCCTGTTGCCTCCCGTCTCTTGTTTGCATGTCGCGTTGTCGCCTCTGCGGTTTGTTCGTCTGATCTCCACGTTTTCCTCGGTGCCTCCCTCGTGTCCTCCCCTCCTTCGCTCTTGGCTGACAAGTGGTCCAGAACAGGTGGCATTCGAGGTCCAACTACCATCGAGGACCGCACCAGGAGGGCGATCAAGCCAGTCCACTCAATCCTCTCCCTCCCCTCCCACTGCTGCGTAGCCGTTTCGGCTCCAGTTGGGCGGCGGGGGGTCCACGCGCAAGCTACCAGCGGCTCATCGCTCCATCTCCTCCTCCCCAACTCCCACCTCTCCTCCTCTTCGGCCTCCTCCTCGTCATCCCTCTCCTCCTCCTCCTCCTCCTCCTCCGCCTCCTCCTCCTCCTCCTCCTCCTCCTTCTCCTCCATCCGTCTCTCACCCCGAGGCGTGTCGGAAGGGCGGGGCTTGCGTTTCGCTTGAGAGTTCTCCACCACTTATGACCCTGAAGCTGAGAAGTTGCAGGAACTTCACGGATGAAGCGCGGACCGTTTTCAAGACGTGGCTCTCGCCTTCTTGCCGCGCACGTTCGTCCTACACATTATGGCAAGAGCTCCACGGGTGGAGGGCGGTTCCTTTTCAAAGGGAGGTTCTCGCCTCAGCGGCGTGAACATTCGTTTTCAGAGTCTACAGTGTTCCAGGGATCATCGGGTCAACGTCCCAGAGTGAGCTGCCTGTTTGGCACGATGTCGGGCTGCCAGGGCGCAATAGTTACGCTGGTTCGCGGTGTTGAAGCCCCAGGCATGGCATTCTGGCACGATGCAGGATCGTCAAGGCGCTACACAAACAGTTGTCTTCCAACTGGGCACTTCATTTAGTGACAATGAGTCCCTGTAGAGGCCTATGAAGAGGGAACTTGGAGGGAGCCCATTGAAATGTCGTCGATGAGTCTGGGGTTTACACTGGTTCTCCTGCTCCTCCTCCTCCTTTTCCTCCTCTCTGTCCTCCTCCTCCTCCTCCTTCTCCTCCTCCCCCATACTCCCTCCTCGGTACGCACGGCAAATGAAGATCAATGAGTCCTGAAACGCGACCTGACACAGGTTGGAAAACAGAGGGGGCTGTATACAAAAGGACGATCAACGAGGAGTGCCAGCACAGTAGCCCACTACGCCTCCTTGTCCAAGGCCTCGGAGCCACTGGTGTGGGGATCCCCGCCGCTGTCAGTCCCATCTCGAGCAGCTGACGGGCGTCAGGATGCGCAGAGGCGATGAGGACAGCATGACGCGAGGATCCCACGCGGCCCTACCTGGCCTCCCCTGCACTGAACCCAACTGCCTACCTGCGAGGGCCCATCCACCTGGCCTCCCGCGCGGCTTACCTGGCCTCCTTCATTTCTCGTGCTTAATATTAACGCCTCCCCGTCGCACCACTAGACGTGTCCGTAGGACAGGCCGTGCGTTTCGCCTGAGACTTCCTTGCCAAATCTGATCCTGAAGCCTGACATGTGCAACAGTTTTCAGGATAGAGCCCGGGTCGTTTTCAAAATGTGGATTTCTCCTTAGCGCCGCGCACATCCGTTTTCACAAAAACGCAACTATTTCAATGATGGAGCCCGGGACAATTTTTGAATGTAGTTCTCGCCTCAGCGCCGCGCTCACGCGCCTTTGCAGAGCAACCGTTTCAAGGATGGAGTCCGGATCCTTTTCAACATGTGTTGCTCGCCTCAGCGCCGCGCACATGTGTATGACCCAACCCTCACCATCATCAGCAAAACATGCGGTTCGGTGCGCATCCATCCGACCCAACCTTGACCATCCTATGCAACAAATAATGAAGTTCACATCCATACGACCCAACCCTCACCAACCTTCGCAAACAATTGTTTTCCGGGGCACATTTCTGCGACCCAGCCCTTACCATCCCATGCAAACAAGAACATTCGGTGCACATTCATCCCACCCAGCCTTCACCATCCTTGACACAATATTCTGGTCGGTATACATCCATACGGCCCAACCTTCATCATCCTCTGTCAGAGTGAGGGGGGCGGGCCGAACGGTCATTCAGTGTCCCTAGGCGCAAAGAGTAGTTGTTGTTGCTTGCCCGGTGCACATGGTGTTTTTGAATGAAAGTGTTTCTCCCTGGGTTCGCAACCTGCTTCTGTATCAGGGGAAGTGTTCCTCCTCAAACTGGGTTGTTGGCCCCCAGTTATTAACAACGACATCCCCTTGATATTTCCCCACATGTGTTTTCGTATTTGCACCCTTCTCGGGACTTCCCCAGAATGTATGCAGGAATCGCGCTCTCGCGTGTTAGTTTCTCACAATGTATTGCGGCGCCGTACCCCCTAGACTCAGGAATCGCGCTCTCGCGTTGGATTTCCTCTTGGTTTACGTGGGCATCGTGCTCTCGCTCTACTTCTCCTTGCGAATCGTGCTGGATCGACGCTTCCGCGACCCGCCTGCTCGACTCGGCCAGTCCGGGCCCACCCGCCCGACCTGCCCGTGAGGGCCCGCCCGCCCCGCCCGTCTGTCCGGCTGTGCCGCCTGAGCTCCTGCTCCCGGCTTTCCTCCTGCAGATCTCTCTCGTGCTCCATCCTTCTCCCTCCCCCGTGTCCTTTCCCTCCTCCGTTCCTTTCCTTGGTGCAGCGGCGGCGCCGGCACGCGGAAGGCAGGCAAGGCATGCCCCCAAGTGGGGTACGACCGAAGACGAAGAGGGCGGGCATCGAGGGTTTGGGACACACGTGTTGGACGGCACGCGTGCAGATAAGAGCGGACAGTTTTAACATGATTGTTGTTGTTGTCATTGTCGTTGTCGTTGTCGTTGTCGTTGTCGTCGTTGTCGTTGAATACTCATTTCTGAAGAATTGGAGGTGAGGGGGTGAGATCGAAGTGGAACGGAGAGCCCCCCTACCGGGAAATCGATTTCGGTTTCGTGTTCGTGCGTGCCGTGCGGGCGAGGCGAAGCTGCGTGGGCGGGCGAGAGAAAGTCTCCTGTGGCTGAGGCGCGGCCGGACCAAATGACTCCCTTCCGGGCGGCCGGTGGCCCGCGGTGTCCCGCCGGTGTCCCGTGGTGTCCCGTGTGGCTGAGGCGCGGCCGGACCAAATGACTCCCTTCCGGGCGGCCGGTGGCCCGCGGTGTCCCGCCAGTGTCCCGCGGTGTCCCGCGGTGTCCCGCGGTGTCCCGTGGTGTCCCGCGGTGTCCCGCGGTGTCCCGCGGTGATGATGATGATGATGATGATGATGATGATGATGATGATGATGATGATGATGATGATGATGATGATGATGATGATGATGATGATGATGATGATGATGATGATAATGATGAGATGGTGATGATGGTGTCCCGATGAAGATGATGATGATGTTGATGATGGTGTCGATGATGATGATAGTGTCCCGATGATGAGAATGATGATGCTCATGATGATTATGTTGATGATGATGACGATGATGGTGTCCCGATGATGATGATGATGATGATGATGATGATGATGATGATGATGATGATGATGATGATGATGATTCCGATGATGTTGGTGATGATGATGTTGATGGACATGGTGTCCCGGCGATGATGATGTTGATGATGATGTTGATGATGCTTATGGTGTCCCGATGATGATGATGATGATGATGATGATGATGATGGTGATGATGGTGATGGTGATGGTGATGATGATGATGGTGATTCTGATGGTGTCCCGATGATGATAATAATGATAATGACGATGTTGATTATGATGTTGCTCGTGATGATGATGGTGCCCCAATGATGATGATGTTGTTGATGATGATGATGTCGATGATGATGATGCGATGATCATGATGATGATGGTGTCCGAGGGTGATGACGATGTTGATGATAATGCTGATGATGAGAACGATGGTGATCATGATGGTGTCCCGATTCTGATGATGATTATGATGATGCAGCTGATGATGATGAAGATGACTGTGTCCCGATGATGGTGATGATGTTGATGATGAGATGATGATGGTGATGAGGATGATGTTGTCCCGATGATGATGCTGACGTTGATGATGATGTTTATGATGATGATGATGATGGTGATGGCGGTGCCCTCATGATGATGATGATGATGTTGGTGATGATGTTGATGTTGATGATGTGGATGATGATGATGATGATGATGCAGACGTTGATTGTGAGAGCGATTGTGATATCGTTAGTGAGATCGATATGGAGACCGAATGTGAGATCGATTGCGTGATCGAGTGTGAGATCGATTGTGAGATCAATTGTGAGATCGATCGAATGAGATAGATCGAGTGAGATCGATTGTGAGATCGATCGAGTGAGATCGATCGAGCGATACCGATAGTGATATCGATACTGAGATGAAGGCTGTGTGCCGATGATGATGAAGGCTGTGTGCCGATGATGATAATGATGATGTTGCTGACTATGATGAGATGATGAGGGGGATGATGATGATGGCCTGATGATGATGGCGTTGATGATGATGACGATGATGATGATGATGACGACAGTGTCCCGATGACGATGAAAATGATGGTGTTGGTGATGATGATAACGTTGAATATTAGATCGATTGTGATATCGGTCGTGAGATCGATCGTGAGACCGAATGTGAGATCGATTGTGAGATCGATAATCCGATCAATTGTGAGACCGAGCGAATGAGATATATCGAGTGAGATCGATTGTGAGATC